AGGAAAAGGGGTAAATCCTCTGGATGACAAGTGGTTAAGTCATAAAAATGAAAAAACAAAAAATAAAGATATGTGCTTTAACATGACAAGTGATAAAAGAGAGATCGGAAGGCAATCTATAATTTTTTTACTATTGTAGTGCTTATCCCCCGCAGGAGCTACTAGGTATCACGGTTTCTCTGTTCTGCCTTGACTCTGCAAACTACTCTGTCCCTTCTGACACACTTGGTTGTAACTTAAGTATTGGTATACCACACACTATTTTAGTACACAGTAAATAGACCACAAGCTACTTGACAGTAGATAAAGTGAATATATTGTTGCATGGCAGGTAAATGCAATGTAAAAAAGCAATAGAATGAATGTGTTAGCCTTAGTAACGTGAATACTAAACTATAATATGGCAAATAACCTAGTCCGCAGTAACACCAAACACAGTGAAATGGCAATGGCAATGCAAATGGCAATCAAAGGTAACTCTCTGCAATGATCAATCAAAAGGTGTCCCAGAGTGCACTCTGTGATTATACCCCTGGTATAATCCCCAATATTGGAAGATGTTCCAGAATGTAGTACCCGTGAAAGGTGGTTGTTTAATTCCTGGTGCCTAATTTGCAATCTTGAGCCAGCTAATATTGGGGCCCCATCAGTATGGTGGTGCACTTTTGTTCTGTCTCTTCAAAGCTGCGTGCAGTGAATGACTGTTGAGTTGCTAAGTAATAGGCAGTCTCTACTGGCAATAAACCACTGACAGTGATGGGATAAGCACAGCTGATTCTGCTCACCAAACCTAACACACAATGACTCTTGTCCAAAACACTTGATGGTCTGCTGTCCTCAGGAACCCAGTAACCAGTAACTCAGTCCTCACAAACAGGACCTCTCAGGTTTGTTTCCAGCACTCTGGTCTTTGCACCCTAGCACAGCTTGGGCCCCTTCAACTCAGGTCCTCAGTGGCTCTCCCTCTCTCTCGGCACCCCGTTGCAAGATGTCTGCTGCTCCGCTTTTTCCAACCAAAGATCTCGGTAAGTACCTGAATGCCTGGGAAAACTGTTCTCTCCTCAACTGTGTGCAAGGATATTTGGATATTGAAGTTTGCAGTCTCGTTCCCCTGCAGTGTATAGAGGACAGTGTATCCCATGATCCATTGTGGATGCATCATCGGGAGAAAAGGGAAGAACAACTGTACTGACTAGTCCCTGTCCTCCTCACAGACCTCACCACCACTGCAGACTCTTCGGCTGGGAGGAGGGGGAGATATGGTAGCCAAATGAACACACACCACAGTTTCAGGGGCACAATGGCAGGAGGAGAAAGACCTATACGTACCTGTACCTGTAAAAATATGTGCATTTATTATTTTTTAATTAAAAGTGAACTCAGCCTTTAAACTAAATTATGATGTGACTTTCAGAATTTGACAAGCTTGCTTTTGAGAAGTTTGCTATTGTGTTAAATATGGCTGTTTTTAGATAAGCCACTAGAGGGAACAATCATTCACATCTCTTAAGAAAGAACAGCCTTTTTTCTAGTTAGCTGGCTGTCTCATAGAAGGAGCAGACAAGAAAAAAACTTTGTTTAGAACTGCAAAGCAGGAATCAGAGCCTGCATGTGTAGTTGCACATATGCTGCATGTTATCAGTTACCATTGTTCCCAGTTCTCTCAGCAGACTAATAGCAGAGTTGTCACCCTAGGACAGGAAGTGCTTTGAGACTACAGAACATCTCTCCGTTTGATATAGAGATGAGGAGAGGTGTTCTGTAATCCTAAAATACTTCCTACCCGAGGGTGAAAATGCTTCTTCTTCTTCAAAAATACAGTACAGTAAGAGAGCATTGGTCGCCTAGTACAGGAAGTATGTTCCCTGGTAGGATCACTAGATGAAAGCAAATGTCTGAAAAGAAATAAATAAAGCAGCCACCATATTTAGCAGTAAGTTGCAATATATTAAAAATGAGTTCTTGATTTTAGATAAGTCTTAACATCTAAGCAAATACCATACTTGAAATAGTATTATAAAAATGCAGGGCAACATGACAGTAGGGTTGATTTACTAAAGGCAAATGAGAGGAATGTTGACTTACCTGTAAATTCCATATCTTTGAGTACACAACCAGACAAAGACAGGGTATTCATAGACCCTGAGTTACAGGTTAATTTCTTCAGGTGATTGGACACCTGCAAAGCTTTCAAGGAGATGTTAACTGGGTGCCTTTTCTATACCCCTACTCCACTCTGTAAGTTCTCAATTTTGTAGCAAGCAATGCAGAATAACCACTGGATGGAAGGGAGGGTGGCCTGTACTGTACCAAGATATGGAATTTACAGGTAAGTAAAAATTCCTCATATCGTAAACATACAAGACAGGACACAGACAAAGTAATTATAGACCCTGGGATTTCCTTGTGCAATGAATGAGAAGGGTGGGTAACAACTAGGCAAACAAAACTGTTCCAACTGACCCAATAACAGCAAGGGTCAAAAAGACCCAACCTCAGGGTGCCGCTGCAGGAGTGTGGTAGAACTTCGAACATTTCTGAACAGAAGACCCAGTGGTGTCTTTACATTGCTGGGCTGGGGGGTGCCAAAATGCCCAGGAAACTCCCATCAATCTGGTGGAACTGGCATTTAAAAATGCAGGGGGAGAATTGTCTTCGGGATTGCAAGCTCTAGCCAAGACATTTTTTATCCATTTCATGATGGTGGGCTTGAAAGTAGAGTGTCCATTGCACAGCCCTGAGGACAGAACAAATAGGGAATATATGTGTCTGATCAAAGCTGTAGCTTTGAGGTAGACTCTAATAGCTCTTACTTCATCCAGATAATGAAGAGAGATTTCCTTTGAATGCTTTGGAGTGGGGCATAAAGATGGTAGGACTATGTTCTTATTGCAGTGGAAGACTGATACCTCTATGGGAAGAAAGGATGGTTTTGGGTGCAAGTCAATATTGTCATTGTGAAGTAAATGGAACGGCTCCTTACAAGACAGAGCCACCAACTCAGAGACATGTCTGACAGATGTGATAGCAACCAAAAAGGCTACTTTGCAGACGGGGCCATCCAAGGGAATATTCCTGATGGGTTCAAAGGGTGGTTTCTGCAGGGTAGACTGATTGCACTCTGTAGACTTTAAACAGCATGGTTTGTGATGACCTCAGTGGCAAACTGTTCCCAGGAATTGGTTAGGAGAGAGGCATGATGCTGTGCACAACATCTTTTTATACATACCCAGTCATATTATATAAGCTAATTTTCAAAATATCAAATTACCTGGACATACTTGTATTCTATGCAATAACATCTACCTTAAAGTGGTTCTAAAGGCTCAAGGTTTTTTACCTTCATACATTCTAGAAGTCAGTAATGGTGGTCTCACTGTTTTTCTCAATCAAGATTTTCCTTTATTTTAGTGTGTTTTCCTCTTTTTTAAATTAAATTCCGTACCTGTAATTATCAAATGTTGGAAAAATGCAATGAAAAAAAAACTTCCATTCAAGCTTTTTCATAGTGTATTCATTTCTCATTTAGACAATGTAAAATACGGTATGAAGCACACTACTGGAGTCCAATCACAGCTGAAACTTACAGTAAAGTCCTGGCTGATCATAGGGCAGTGTACTCATAGATACACATAATTTCTTTTTCTATTTTCTTTAACTTCCAGCAGAATCTAAAATACTTGTCTTAGATAGAGGTGTTGTTTAATTTACAAAGGAGGTTAGAATGAGATAGGTGCAATACTGATACCCAACTGTCAGGAATGGACTCGCCAATGGTGGTGGGACTCACCTGCCTTGTGGTCTGCAGTACCAAGGCTGGCCAGCGGGTGCTCTCAGCAGCCAGAATCTCACTCCTGCAATCAGGCCATCACCTGAGGCTTATTGCAGGAGGTGTATTTAAGCAGGACCAGGCCTGTGATCAGTGCCTTGGTGTATGTTTCCCATGAGCCCCTGTACCTGCATCCTGTCTGCTTCCTGCCTGATCCTGCTTTGATCCTGACTCTGAACCTGACTCTGAACGAACTCCGCCTGTCCTGACCTCGGCTATTCCTGACCACTCTTCTGCTCGCTCCTGGTACCCTGTTTGCCCGTTAGCTACCGACCCGGCCCGCCTGACTACGTTGTGCTCCATATATATATACATATATATATATATATATATATATATATATATATATATATCTCAGTTTAGGTTTGGGTTTGTTTCACCTTGTTGTATGTATTTGTGTTTAGTTTTGTGTTTGGTTTGTTGCACTGCATTTATGTTTGTGTTGTCCTTAATAAATTATCTTGTTTACACGCTATACCTGAAGTCTGTGTTTCCCTGTGTTGGTCCACACACCTCTGGTCATTCCCGGAGCCCTGACACCAACTAATTCCTCAATAATCATTTTATCATGTATATGCACTTCTGTGTTGTCTTTCAGGTGTCAAACATTTTTTAAATATATACAAATGTTCATTCTGGCAGCATTACAACAATAAACAAAACAATTTTTTTTGTGTTTATATTATGCCATATGCCAGGGGTCCTCAAACTTTTTAAACAGGGGGCCAGTTCACTGTCCCTCAGACCGTTGGAGGGCCGGACTATGGTTTAAAAAAAAAAAACTATAAACACATGCGGACACAGTAGAGGAGATGACCAGAGACTGCGGACATACAACGGGAATACTGGGCCGGCCGCTCCATAAGACGCACAGACATTTCCCCCCCAAGTGTGTCTTATGGAGCGAAATAGTGCCCCATCATTGGTGTCAGTGGGAGGAATAGTGCCCCATCATTGATGTCAGTGGGAGGAATAGAGGCCCATCATTGGTGTCAGTGGGAAGAATCGTGCCCCATCATTAGTGTCAGTGGGAAGAATAGTGCCCCATCATTGGTGTCAGTGGGAAGAAACGTGCCCCATCATTGGTGTTAGTGAGAAGAAACGTACCCCATCATTGGTGTCATTGGGAGGAATAGTGCCCCATCATTGGTGTCAGTGGGAAGAATCGTGCCCCATCATTAGTGTCAGTGGGAGGAATAGTGCCACATCATTGGTGTCAGTGGGAGGAATAGTGCCCCATCATTGGTGTCAGTGGGAAGAATCGTGCCCCATCATTAGTGTCAGTGGGAGGAATAGTGCCACATCATTGGTGTCAGTGGGAGGAATAGTGCCCCATCATTGGTGTCAGTGGGAAGAAACGTGCCCCATCATTGGTGTCAGTGGGAGGAATAGTGCCCCATCATTGGAGTCAGTGGGAGGAATAGTGCCCCATCATTAGTGTCAGTGGGGGGAGGAATAGTGCCCTATTGTTGGTGTCAGTGGGGGGAGGAATAGTGCCCCATTGTTGGTGTCAGTGGGGGGGGGGGGGGGGGAAGTGCCCCGTCATTGGTGTCAGTGGGGGAAGTGGATAGTGTCCCAACATTGGTGTCAGTGGGAGGAATAGTGTCCCATCATTGGTGTCATCATTGGTGTCAGTGGGGGGGAATAGTGCCCCATAATTGGTGTCAGTGGGAAGAAATGTGCCCCATCATTGGTGTCAGTGAGAAGAAACGTGCCCCATCATTGGTGTCATTGGGAGGAATAGTGCCCCATCATTGGTGTCAGTGGGAAGAATCGTGCCCCATCATTAGTGTCAGTGGGGAGAAATAGTGCCACATCATTGGTGTCAGTGGGAGGAATAGTGCCCCATCATTGGTGTCAGTGGGAAGAAACGTGCCCCATCATTGGTGTCAGTGGGAAGAAACAAGCCCCATCATTGGTGTCAGTGGGAGGAATAGTGCCCCATCATTGGAGTCAGTGGGAGGAATAGTGCCCCATCATTAGTGTCAGTGGGGGAGGAATAGTGCCCTATTGTTGGTGTCAGTGGGGGGAGGAATAGTGCCCCATTGTTGGTGTCAGTGTGTGTGGGGGGGGGAAGTGCCCCGTCATTGGTGTCAGTGGGGGAAGTGGATAGTGTCCCAACATTGGTGTCATTGGGAGGAAAGTGTCCCATCATTGGTGTCAGTGGGAGGAATAGTACGTCATTGGTGTCAGTGGGGGGGAATAGTGCCCCATCATTGGTGTCAGTGGGGGGGATAGTGTCCCAACATTGGTGTCAGTGGGAGGAATAGTACCCCATCATTGGTGTCAGTGGGGGTGGAATAGTGCCCCATCGTTGGTGTCAGTGGGGTGGAGGAATAGTGCCCCATCATTGGTGTCAGTGGGGGGAGGAATAGTGCCCCATCATTAGTATCATTGACACCAATGATGGGGCACTATTCCTCCCACTGACACCAATGACACTTAACTTGCTGACCCCTGTTTCAGCATGGTGCTGCTGCAGCCAGCTTACCTGGTTGCAGCAGCACCGTCTGCACGGCACACTTAGGAGTGAGGGAGTGGCCGGAGTGAATGAAGGATCAGCGCTTCCTGGACTGGATCGTCGTGGGGGACTGGGAACGGAGCCAGGTAAGGTACAGCAGCCCCCTGCTCGCCCCTGTACTTAGTGTCCCTTCCTTGCGGAAAATACGCCCCCTACCAGCGGGCCGGATAAATGGCCTCGGCGGGCCGCAGTTTGAGGACCCCTGCCATATGCCATCCATAATTTTCTTCTTAGAATGGAGACACTGGCTGTAGGCTGACCATTTCATGGACCCTTTCAGTTGACAAGTGACTCGAACCATTAGCTTGCACAGCAGAGTGACATCCTTTCCAGGTGACACAGATATGTCAATTGCCTGATAGAAGTGTCCATCAGTGGGGTTCTCACAGGATCCTGATGAATCTATTGCATGATGACATCATGATGACATGCAACAAGACCTGTCACCAACTGGCCTGGACTGCAGCAATGGATCTCGAACATCAAAAAAAGTCACTGTGTCATGTGACTGCAGACTTAGGTGTGTAAAATAGTGTTAGAGGGTTTTTTAAATGTGAATGGGGGGGCGAAGGGGTGGGTGGGGGTGCTTTTTATCCTAAGGTGGACTTAACCACTTGCCCTCCAGAGAATTTACTCCCCTTCCTGTCCCGGCCATTTTTTGCGATTTGGCACTGCGTTACTTTAATTGACAATTGCGTGATCATGCAGCGCTGTACATAAATAAAATATATGTCATTTTTTTTCCCCACAAATAGAGCTTTCGTTCGGTGGTATTTGATCACCTCTGCTTTCTTTTTTTTTTTTTGCACCAACAATTTGAAACAAAATACATATTTTTGACTTTGCTGTAAAACATGTCCAATAAAAACATTTTAATAAAATGTTGTCAAAAATTTAGGCCAAAATGTATTCTGCTGCATGTTTTTTGCTAGAAAAAAATCCTAATAAGTGTATATTAATTTTTTATACTAGTAATGGCGGCAATCAGCAACATATAGCGGGAATTCAGGACTGTAGCGGGCATTCTGACACTGGGGGGGGACTGACTAACTGGCACTGACATCCCAATGACACTAATACAGTGATCAGTGCTGGTAAAAAAGCACTGATGCTGTACTAATGACACTGGGCAGGAAGGGGTTAAAATCTGGGGTAATCAAAGGGTTAACTGTGTGTTAGGGAGTGATTTTATTGTGTACTGTGTTGTATTTTACTAAGCAGACCTGCTGCTTTCTATCTCTCTGCTGTGCAGAGCAATGCAAAGCAGCATATCTATGCTGACAGGAGAGAGATCTGTGTTGTTTACACACAGATCTCTCCCCTCAGCTTTGCCAACAATCACCGAGTCCCAGCTAAAAATCACCGGCTGGGACACGGTGATTGACATCCTCAGGAGCCAATAACAGCGTGGGTTGGGTGGAGCCTCCTACCCGGAAATGCAAAATTGCGTATATTTATGTGATTTTGCCCAGCAAAGCTGCCCTGTAGCAGTACATCTGCTATGGGGCAGTGGGTAAGTGGTTAAAGTTAAACTCCAACTGACAGCTTGATACACAGTTGAAATACATGAACTGAACTGTTTTACCTGTCAAAGGATTTGGGATTTTGTTCAGTCAGTCTTGTGATCCAGACTCTTTAGCCACACAGCATAGGTAGGTTGGTGACCTAACTTTTCTCTACTGCAGTAAGAGAGTGCAGTCAGGGTTAGAACCAGTTTCAGTCCCGTGAATGGACTGATGAGGTCCTCATTGTGCTCTAATTTCCTTTAAAGTGGAATTTGAGTCAGAAAACTAGGTCCTGATAAATCACTTCAGGCTGGCCTCTTTGGCAGGTATGGTTATGTAAAACATTAGAAATAAGTGCCTATACCGTTTAAAATCCAATAATACACTGTCTCACCCTGCTCTGCACATGCTCAGTTGCTCTCTATTTTTTGGCACCGAGGTTGATATGCTGACAAGCTAAAGAATTACTGTTGCTGAGGGGCTCTGGGCTTCAGCAAGAAGAAACAGGAACAGTTCTAATAGCAATTTCCGGCAACACACTCATTTTGGTAGCATATTTAATTGGAATGTATGTTCCTTGCTAAAGAACATACATTTTTTTATCAAGTTGTGATGTGTAAAGTTGCACTTTAAGTTTCTCCAATGTGTTAGACATAACGTACTTTTCAAAATTATAGAGTTTTAATTGACTTAGAGGCAACACAGCAGCACCCTCAGATATAAAAATGAGGTCTTTGCAGTAGGTAGGCAATGTCAAAACACTTAGTGAAGAATGCTGTCATGTAGTCATTAGTAAGACCTCATCTGGAATATGCAGTTCAGTTTTGGGCACCAATTCACATAAAGAACATTGGGGAACTGGAGAAAGTACAGAGAAGGGAAACCAAACTGATAAGAGGCATGGAGGAGATCAGCTATGAGGAAAGATTAGAGGAACTAAATTTATTCTCTCTTAAGAAGAGGAGATTAAGAGGGGATATGATCAACATGTATAAATACATCAGTGGTTCATATAGTGAACTCGGTGTAGAGCTATTCACCCTGAGGTCATCACAGAGGACAAGGGGGCACTCTTTACGTCTGGAGGAAAAGAGATGTAATCTCCAAACACGGAAAGGTTTCTTCACAGTGAGAGCTGTGAAAATGTGGAATAGACTCCCTCAAGAGTTGGTTCTGGCCAGCTCAGTGGATTGCTTCGAAAAAGGCCTGGATTCTTTCCTAGATACACAGAATATAACTGGATGCTAACATTTATAGGTAAAGTTGATCCAGGGATTATCCGATTGCCTCTCGGGGGATCAGGAAGGAATTTTTTTTTCCCAGCTAGGAGCAAATTGGATCATGCTTTGCTGGGTTTTTTGTCTTCCTCTGGATCAACTGTGGGTGTAGGATTATAACTTTTTTTTTTTTTTTAATGGTTGAACTGGATAAACCTTTGTCTTTTTTCAGCCAGACTAACTATGTAACTATGTAGAGTCTGGTGGTGGTCCCTTGGTTAGTTTCCTGCAGTTTAAGGTGCTTAGAAGGATAATTAACTGCACTTTTCATAATAATGCCCTTTCCCCACTTCTTTTTTGAGCAGTTTGGCCTACCTTTATTATAATAGTTCTTTTAATTTTGTTTTTGGGTGGAGAGGTTATAGGCAGATACCACCATAATGTCCACATTGGGATGCAGGAAATTCATTCTTGTTGTGCTGTCAATGTTATTTTACATCAAAGTTAGAAGCCTGAAATCTAATAAATCTGCAATGGACACAAACAAAAACTAGGCCAATACTGCAGAAACCAAATAACCTGCCAGTATGCTTTTGAATTGAGAGAAAAAATCGGAGTCACCAGAGAACATCTACACAAACAAGAACTACTTGCAAGCTTCGTGCAGATAGTCTCCATGTGGGAAATGTATCCAAACCCCAGCGTTGCAAGACAAGAATGCTAACTTGCCTACATATCTGAAACATTATACAGTATTGTGCATAAGAAACATTATATCTTAGAGACAATACTTGTTAGGGGGCATTATCCCCCAGTAAATAGAGCTATACCTGAATATAAGGGTAAAACATGAATATGTAATTGTTTCATGCAGTCACAAGCACTTCACTCTACAAGGCTCTGAGCCATATCTCTCCCTATTCCCTTCCTTTCTGGTCACAGATGACAAAATTGCTAATTAAAAATAGATTGTGAACTTAAGCCTAACATCAACAATCATTTTTGTAGCTAAATAGGTCACTACCCAGGAGACCTAATGAGTCTAATTCCTTCTTAATTTTTTTTTTATTATTATCCTCGTACTTACCCTCTGGAATATCTTTGTCACTTCTTTCTTTTCTGTTTTGTCTTTCATCACCTTCCCCCGCTTTATCTTTCTTTTCTCTGCCAAATAATGAGTTAGCCAAGCTGCCATAAATCAATAATTATGTCTTCCGTAATGCTATCAGCTTCATAACAGAAACTCAAAGAAAGACCCAGCTTTCTCTGAACAGGTCCACTCAGCCTGAATTTCAATGCTGTGGCCCAAGCTGTGTATGCTGTGTAATATTGCATGGTGAAGCTTGGTGGCAAGAAGGGTTTTAAGAACCCTGAAAGAGCATGTAAAAGGGGTCCTATACATTCTATAGAATGTTCTATAGCTTTTTAAAAGTACACAAAGACACATATTCATTAAAATGACACTAAACTGTATCCATATTCTCCAAAAATAATATATACACATCCGCTACTTAATGACCCTGTAATCTATTCTTAGTGAAATTGTTTCTTCTATTTTGTAACATCATCCCTGAGCTCCCAAAACTCTCCTTTTCCCTCTCGCTTCCTTTTCGCCTAAGCATACGTCAGTTGTGGTCATGTGCACTGATCTGTCTCAAGTCCTTAGCCTGTCTTGGGAGCAGGCAAGAGAGGAT